CTCTTTGCTCAACTCAAAGTACGCGCGAGTTGGTAAGTAAGAGAAGACTGTCGACTGTCGTCGATGACAACGTATTTTTTCAACGTTAAAACGTGAGTTGTATACTGACAAAGAATAATTCCCACGGCTTGCCTACCTCCAAGGTGCTCGACGACAGAGCGACGCTCCGCACGTGGCCGGCTGCACGACGACTTGTTGCGCGGGGCTGGCCGTGCGTTGCGTGCCGCGTGTTGGCGGCTGCACCTGGGCACCTGGGCGCCAGCTGCGGCAGCTGCGGGGATGCACGCACGCAGGTGGTGGTAGTGCGTCCGGTGTGCGAGCGGGTTATTGTCACGCTGGGAACGTTGTCGCGCGGGGAGAGGTCGTCACGACGACGCGGAGCTCGCAAGAGCACGGGGCGCGCGCTGAGTGTGCGGTGTGCGGGGCGTGTGACGGGGCGTGTGACGGGGCGGTCCGACCAGGCGGGCGGCTCGAGCGCGACTGACTGACTGAGCGCGGGGCGGGGCGGGCGTCGCAGTGGCGCGCCGCCGCACCCCCCGCCCCACCCCGCCGGCAGGGGAGGGAGGGGGGCTGCAGGACGAGGCACAAACACGCCGCCACCACCGGCCGCCGCCGCGCTGCTCGCCACACGACGAGCCGCCGTCGGCCACCCGAATCTTCTCTATTGCAGCCGGGATCATCGATACAAAGCGGAAGAAAAAAATAACATGACACTATTAACAAACACCCCACATCCACCTATACCCGGGACATTCTTTAGTCTGATTGTATGTGAAATATTTAGTCAGTCATTCGCCGAGACAAAACTAACTGACAAGGGCAGCCTTATGATGAAACTTAGCTCTCATAGCGCCTGACGGGTAGGCAATACCTTGTCTGCGGTGCACACGTGTACTACGGGCCGGCCTACCCCGAGTCTCGCAGGCGCCGAGCTCCAGTGATTTGACGAATTGGAAACGACAAAAACGCGGACGGTCCCTTGAGATTCGACCACAAACTGGCGGGCGTCTTCCCGCATTTGTTCGCCGTGTGTGAATTGCCATGCATCGCTCTATACTCGCACCAACTCGCACGTTACTTGCACCGACTCGCGCGTACTAACTCTTACTCCCTGAATACCACCTTTAGGGAGTGGACTGGATTCAGTCTGTGTTGTTGGGCAAGCCGGGTGCAGAACCTGCGCGTGGCCTCCTCCCTTTCCTTTCCAATTCCGCAGAGGGCGAGGCGGGGTGTGGCGGCGCCGGGCGGCACGGGGCGGGGCGGGGCGGAGCTGACGCCCTTACAAACAAGGAGCAGCGCGGGGGCACCGTGGGGCTCCCGGCTTATCTGATGAGACCGGAGCAGCGCCCTACATTCCCTACGGCCGACCCGAACCCGCGCCGCCGCGGCTGAAAACAAGGGAAAAAAAAAACAAACGACCCGCAGTGGTCTAGGGAAGAGCACAGCAGCGGCGGCGGCGGCAGCGGAAGAGGATAACGGCGCGAAATCAAATCAGGCCGGGGAAAATAGGCGAGCAGAAGCAGCGGCAGCGGCCTGGTCCCGCTCTACCTGGGAGTCGCTATAATTACAGCAGCGCAGCGAGCAAACACGCAGCGAGGTACGTGAGGGGCTGCTGCTGCTGCTGCTACCGCTGCTGCTGCTGTTACTGCTGCCACTGCTTCTGCCGCTACTGCCGCTGCTGCTGCTACTGCCACCACTTCTGCTGCTGCTGCCACCAATGCTGCTGCTGCTGCCACCACTGCTGCTGCTGCTGCTGCCACCGCCGCTGCTGCCGGTGCTGGTCTGTGTACCCGCGAGTTATGCCCGGGCGTTATCCCATTAGCACTATCACACCCGGACGGGACTGCCGCTGCTGCCGCTGCTTGTTTGTCCTCCGTGAGGAGTGGAGGAGGGGGAGGAGACGAAAGAAGCAGGGTAGTTCGTAGGGGAGATAGAGAAATGGTTCGCTTTGGGGGGGGAGGGTGCGAGGGAATTGGGGGAGGGGCGGTAGTAACAAATAGGAGAGTAAGTCGAGGAGCGGCAGACGAGGTTTCGAATACTGAGTGAGTACGACCGGGAGAGGCGCTCGCGGATATTACGCCTCTCTACTTCACCCATCCGATCCCCTCCCCCCCTTCCCAAACGGTCCCCGCACCCGGAGCGCGTCAGCGCCCCACCTGCCGGATAAAACGGAACGCCGTGTCTTTTAATAGTCAATGAATTACCCCTCTCCGCCCTCTTACTCTTTCCCTCTCTTTCTCTTTCTCTGTCTCTCTCTCTCTCTCGCTCGTTCTCTCCTTTCTCTTCATCTATACCTCTTTCTCTCTCCCTCAATCTGCTCCTTTACGGTGAGACGGCGTTATTCGCAGCAGGCAACGTTCGGTGGCGTAGCGTAGCGTGGCGGCCATCTGGACCCGAGCTGCTCTAGCAGTCGTCGGCGGGGAGATATACAAGGGAGAAAGCGAGAGAGGAGGGTGTGGTGCGTGGAGGGCGGGGGGAGGAAAGGATAGACACGGTAGGAAAAAAATATAAACCGGCGTCAGGGAAGTACATAACATTATCATGATTCTTATTATTATCATCGAGGTAAAAGTATATGATAAAAAGCGGGAACCCCATCTCGTTGCACCCCGTTGCGCCAGACGGTCTCCCTTTCCTCTCCTGCTTATTCTGCCTTATGGGTTCGAATAAAAGCGACTCCGCGGCGGCGGCCGTGCAGACCGAGTGCACGCGCGCGTGTCTAAATAACTTGGGATGTGATACGCCCCCCGCCCCCACCCCCACCCCCAGACAACCCCTCGCCACCGCCATACACCGCCGGCAGCGGCAGCGTCTGCTGATCCGCGAGACCAAAGCAAAAGCAAAACACCAAAGCATCCGGCATTGGTCTCGGACATCGGCCGCCGCGCAATGCTGGCGGTATGGGTCTCGTCGGTGATGATGAAGCTCACGGTGGTAACGGAGGAGCTGGCTGGGCGAACTGATTCAGAAGAGCGTTCCATCGGACACACTTTCTCTCTCTCTCTCCAGTCTAACGGTGAGTGCGAACGAGGACGGAAATACGACACGCGGTCACAAAGAAAATCGACTCGGGCAGATACGCTGGACAGAAAGCGGCAAAGAGGTTGTTGGGTGAGGGAAATCTAGAAGGTAATCCGCAAGGGTAACCTCACAGCGGTAACCAAGCCCATAGGAAAATCGGGGAAAGTATCGCAAGGAAATACGAATATAATTCCCGGGGAGAAATATAGAATTTGGAATCTATAGTGTGTTCCAATAAGTAATCCGAGGTTATCTGGCCTGGCAGGAGGTAATCCGGGGTAAATGGTAATCCTACTTGTTCGCCAATTTCAGCAGCAGTCGATCCCCCTTTGGCGCTCGGCATCCTCCAGCGGGCCGGCAGTCGTGGCTGGTAATGATTAGATTACCCGCGGTGTAAAGCGTCGCGCCGAGGGGAGGGGGCACAGAAAAAGGAGAGAAAATGCGCGACAAAGCCAAGGGACGCCTCGCCCGGCCCGGCCCTGCGCGGCGCGAGGCGGCTAGGGACGGCATCAGAAATTCATGAGCTGGAAAATGTGGAACGGGATCCGTGATTTGAGCGTCAGCAGCAACAACAACGGCAGGCAGGAAGCAGCAGGGAGGCTGAGGTGTGACCGCGAGAGGAAAGGGGAAAAATA